TTGTTTGAAAGATTTAACCACAATTGAAGAACGTCTCATAATGCTTAGATGGCCTTTTATGACAATTCGTCGATTAGGATATCAAGGTCAGAGTTCTCTCGGAGGTGCTGTTGTTAATATACCAATTTCTGTTAACAATATTGTGACATCATCATGTGATACAAATTCACTTAAGAAGGCGTTTGGAATACAATCATGATTACATGATCGATACCATACGCCCCCCAAAGATTATGGAAGCTTTGCAATTCTTAGAGAACTGGATTTCAGAATTTAATGACCAAGATGAAGTTCCGTTTGTTGCATCTGCAGATTATTTCCGTTTGGTTCAATCTTTTTATGCGGCACCAACTTCTAATGATAATCCCTCAGGTAATAATATTCCCACGGGTCTTTTACCTTCAGAGCTAAATCCAGGCGGTCAAGAAACTCTTTTGGACAATATTCCTCTAGAAAACTTGGACTATAACCGTTTAGCCATAGCGCCAGGTAAAGGGCAAAGACCAGTTGACATAATTGAAGATAATAATTCAGAAGAGTTGTCATTTAGAACAATATACGTTGGGCCAAAATGTACATGCTCTGAAACATATAGCAAAATAATACGTTCTGAAATTCGCCGTTTTGACAGAAGAGCGTGTACCATTCCAAAGTGGTTCTATGATTACAAAAAATTAGAACTGCTACAAATTAAGAATAGTACATCCATTTGCCTTAGAAAGTTTTCAGGTCGCAACCAAGATACGGCCCAAAATTTATTAAACGAAAACTTTGTTCAAAACTTGATTCAACACGATGATGGTTACAAGGATTTGAAAGGCGTTAGACCCTCTCCTGCACACTGAGAAGCTCAGAAGGAAAACGCAATCGCTATGATTCGCCAATTTGGGCTGCTAACCCAAGCTTTTGGTCATCCTCTATAAAACTGTTGATTCTAAAAATATTTCGGAAGAGGAAGCCAACAGTTAAACAGCCCAAGATAGAATTAGCTTAATTCGTAGAAATTTTGACTACCGCTATCGACAAATTATCAAGCTTTTTAAAGACAATGCCTGCATTTTTGGTGAAATAAGAGGACAACAGGTTTGTCGTTTTGGTATACCATATCCATCAATGCCTTCAACGCAAATACTGTTACCTCTTACAGAAACAGGTCAAAATTCAGAAAGACATAAGGAAAACTTTTTCAAAATTCAAAACAAAAATAAATTCAAATATGACTACAGAAGACATTTTTAATTTAAGAGATTTTGAACATTTCCTGTCTGATAGTAGAATAAATATGTCTTTTGATAACTATTTGTTAGATCTAGTTTATTAAAACCCAAAATTTTTCTAAAAAGAAAATTACAGGATCGTTTTATTAACACTTATAATCCTCTTATTTTGGAACTCCATAGAGAAAATATGGATATCCAATATATACTGGATGCATATGCTTGCTGTTCATATATAATGAATTATATTAAAAAGTCTAACAGGGGAATTTCTAGGCTCTTAAATGAAGCTATATCAGAGGTAAATGCTGGAAATTATACTGTTAAGCAAAAACTTAAACAAATAGGTCACAAATTCATATCAGGCACAGAAATATCTACACAAGAAGCAGTATATTGCTGCATTGGGCTCCATCTTTCGGAAGCAAGTAATGCAGAAATATTTCTAAATACCTCTCGACCTGAGGAACGTGTTCGAACGGTGAAACCTAGAGCGGAACTTCAGAACCTTCCTTCAGGTTCGACTGAAATATTCGTAGCTGGTATTTTAGACCGTTATGTTCAAAGATCCGATCAGTTAGAAACTCTTTGTTTCGAGATAATTTCGAGGAAGTTTCCGATGATGCCATACATTTATTTTGGTCCAATGAAGAGACAAATAATGTCAGTGCCCTTAAGCTCAGTCGAATTCCAACTGAAGCTATCCTAAAGTGAACATAAGAATATTTTGGAAACAGTTAAAATTTTCATAACTTCTGAAACGCAGAGACTGCCCTATGAATTGACACTAAAAACCTCCGCCAAATATATGATTACAGTGAATATAAACACGTGTGATGGCTTGGTTAATGGGGCAGCTGGACAACTTATGAAAATTGATTTCCATTGTTCTTTTCCAACAATTCTGAGTATTAAATTTTTGGAACCTTCTGTTGGTTTGATAGCACGATCAAAAAAGCCTCATCCTCAGAAAGTTCTTAGACACCGACTGAAAAAGTTCTAAAATATTTTCAATATAAAAGAACTGAACAAATTTCAATTGAAAGAAATCAGTTTCAATTTGTTCCGGCTGAGGGAATAACTATTCATAAAAGTCAGGATGCCACATATAAAAAAGTTATAGTTCATACTCGGCCCAGAATGCCTAGAGCTTCAATATATGTCGCTTGCAGTCGAGCTACTACTGCAGAAGGTCTATTCATCATGCGAAATTTTATTCCTCCTAACAAATTTTCTGAATCGGATCCTATATTTAGGGAACTGAAGGAACACAAATAAAGCTTTGGCAACAAGTTTCAATTTTATGATTTCCCGAACATCAGGACATAAATTTTATTCTATAACGTTCAGAGTCTTCATGCTCACATTATCTTCAGATATTTTATGTTTTGTAGAAACTTGGAGTTATTCGTGCGAAAATTTTGATATACCAGAATTTACTCCAATTAACGAGCTGAGGATAGATAGCACGGAAACAAGCATAGTAAAGAACCAAAGGCTGTAAAGAAAACTTATTAAGGCCGCAAAGTTTTAGAAGCGGTTTTGTTTAAATGTTTCATTATTAATATTCTGGCAACAAAGCTTTTGTCGATTTAAAATATTTCACAATTCTGAAATATTTTTCCGTTGCTCCCAAAAATCTGTGTCGATATGTATGCATTCTCATATATAAACATACATATTTACGATGATTTGTAGGCGTTCGTTATATTTATTCGGCCCAACTCGAATTTTCTACCAACAATATAATGTTGTGACGCTTTGTCCTCGCGCAAACAGTCGTCAATTTTTCGACATATTGACTCTTTGACATAAAAACAAAAACATGAGCTTCGCCATGGTTGTCCGCAGTGGCGGATCCATGGGGGGTATAAATGATAGTTCGGTAATTATAAAATATTGACGCCAAATTTATATAGTAAATAGATGAATTCAAAGAGTCCGCTACTATCATAAAACCAGAGAGCAAATAATTCTAATTCAAATTCAGAAGAATGTACGATATAATATCAATATGAAAAATATGTTGAAAGGAAATTTTTCCCTCCAGGAAAAATTCTGCCACTGGTAGTTAGTGACAACGGAGATTTCGCATAAAACAATAAGTGTACATATTACATGTAGACAAATTCACAAATATTATGCGTTCTTTGATATTTATTTGCATACACACATAATTATATACAATATGTTTCAGATGATATCAAAACTTTAAACTACCAAAGCAAATAAATATCAAATATAGAAAATATATTATTTATAAAACATATACTAATTATTTAGCTAATAGTACAAACTTCACTTTATTATACATATTTCAATAGATTTTAAGAAATTCATCATGAAATAAGTAAATTTGTATATACAAGTACATATATACTTATATACTCAATATACTAATATAATCAATCAACTTAGAAGAACGAGAAGGTACAAATTGAATTTTGTATGATGCTCGATTGGACGGCTAACAGAGCTGAAAAATTGGGATCAAGGAGTTCATTATTTTCTGTAGTATTTGCTGTTATTTAACAGAAATGAGAATTTATAACAACGTTCTCTGACAAAATACGTATCTACCAACATAAAGAGAAAAATTAAATACTTTGAACAAAAAATACAAATGCCACTTTACATATGCATGATTATTTTTTGCCATATAAACAATTTTTATGATGAAAAATTGTACATATGTACATCAATATGTTATATATATTATATTATATAATATAATAATATATTATAACTTGTCAATAAATACATGTGCGCGCACTGCTCTATATGTAAGTATGTATGTACAAATATGCGTATGACATTGCGAAATAAGTAATGCATACGCAAATCTACATATTATATATACATATATATGCGTATAAATGTATGTATGTGAGCCAATAGAAAATACAAACATTGTTATACAAAAACCACAATTCTCTCAAATAGCATGAGCAGCGTCAAAAGTCAGTATGGCAACAACAACATTTTCATTCATGAACGCTTGCGCACATGCAATAAGCTAAGTCGTTTCATTCATAAAAACAAACGCCTTACACATCTCCCCGAGCATGCGTTTGCCTAAAAGCGTATTTTCGCCTCGATGGCAAAAGCTAGAAATCATAAATTGAACAACTTTTTATGTTCCCTTTAGAAGGGAAAAGTGACAAGCCCAAAAAAAACAGAAAAAAGTGGCAACAAAGCTTTTGTCGATTTAAAATATTTTACAATTCTAAAATATTATTATTTTTTACAATTCTAAAATATTTTTCCGTGACTCGCAAAAATCTGCGTCAATATGTATGCATGCTCATATATAAACATACATATTTACGATGATTTGTGGGCAAAGCTGTTAGAGCGGCAAGGGAAGCGGTGACAATCGGCGAGCGTTCGTTTATTTTTCGCCACAGCTCGGATTTTCGGTAAATGTATAGTTTAGGTCCCCCAACTAAGGAGGCCTCAAAACTGAATTTTTTTTTAAATCCTCTTATTTTTACGCGTAGATTACAAATCTGTGAGCGGAAAGTGAACTTTTTCAAATACGTTCTCTGTTTGCAGTAAGGCTTTAATATTTTCTTGCTAATTTCTGCTTGTTTTCCGTTTCATTCTTTTTTCGTTATTAAACATATTATGATAAATATTTTCGTATTATTCTTCTTTCTAATAGGTAACACTGAAGAAACAATCTTTATGATTTAAAAATTTATTTTTTAAACATTCCTGTCATTAAGAATACGTCTTTTAAGTGAAAAATTAATAAAACCAGAAATTCATGATAGAAACATAGAAAAGTGTATATGACTTTATGACTTAAAATAAGAGAAACATAAACAAATTTATTTGACATTAAGGATTAAAGACATTTTGAAGAAGAACGCTCTAAAGAAACATGAGCTTATATGATTGAATCATGGTATACAGTTTTGTTATTTTGGCAGTATTTTAGCCATGAATCTGGCAGCACCTGCTATGTACCAGAATTTTTTATTACTTACCTTTATTTTAATAAAGTGGCATCTTTTAGTTTGTCCGCCATCATTTGATAGAAATAGGAAGGCAAGCAGTGTGTGGCAAAATCTTTCAATTTTGTAAAAATGTTTGCGTGAAAATACAATTGAATTCAGAAATTTTTTAACAACACTGTACTGAACGGATTTTGAATTGAATTACATAGGAACCAACGGTGTTTATAAAATTCCATCTACAATATTGAAGTAATAAGTTTAACAAATTATTCCAAACATTATGTCGTATCCATCTCGCGCACCTATACCACCTTATATGAATCCGACTATACCACCTCCTCATGTAAGTTGTATATCAAAGTTTCAAGTTTTTGTATATAAAATTGTAATATATGATGAGTAGATGATGCCTCCTATACCATCAGCAAGGAATTATAGAAGCTCTGCTACTATCAGCTCCCAGCCCACAGTTTACCAACGTATACCTGATCCGGTTCCCCAGTTTCGTGGACCAATTATTACGGTGTTCGTGGGTACGTATAGAAAAAAACAATATGTTATTTATATTGAAATACTCTTACTATAGGAAATATAAGTGAACGAGTGCCTGAAGCGTTAATCAAAAGAATATTGGCAGCTTGTGGCGTAGTGGTGAATTGGAAACGAGTTTCCACTTTTGGTTTTTGTGAATATGAGTAAGGCTTATATTGTAATAAAATCCTGATTATAATCGAAATTTTTTAAATAATTAGCGGACCTAACGCGGGTATGCGAGCTGTGCGCCTTTTAAGTGAACTTGAATTAGATGGAAAGAAACTTGTGGCTAAAGTTGATGCGAAAAATAAACTTCTTTTAGACAATTACAAGGAAGAAGAACTGAAAAATGGAATCAATGTTTCTGCCGTAGATGAGAAATCGGAAGATGATTATGTTCTTAGTCAAATGAGAAAAATTCTTGATGATCATAAACATGAATTCGATGAATTTGATTCGAATTCTCGTGGTGACGTATTCGGAGGAAGAATAAATAAATCTAAAATGGCTCGGGCGGAAGATAAAATAACCAAGGTTCTTAACGAAACTAATCTAGAAGAGGAAAAGAGAAATTTGATCAGTAGCGAAATCGGAAAATTCAGAAAAAGAGCAGAAGCCGATGAACACAGAAAAGAAAAGGAAAAGGAAAAAATGAGAGAAAAGGAGAAAGATAAGGATAGAGAATATGAAAAAGAAAGAGAAAAGGAACGAAAACCTTCTGAAGTAATAAAAGACGATATAAGTGAAGAAGATTGGGATGCTGGGGAAAAAAAGGTCCCAATTGATAAAGTCGAAAGAGTGACAAGTCGAAAGGACCGTCACTCCAGCAGCATGTCGCCCAACAGAAAGGAAAAGGAACGAGAAAGCAAAAGAAGAAGAAGTAAATCTCGTTCGCGAGAAAGAGAACGTGACCGAGAATACAGGGAACGCGAAAGAGAGCGAGAAAGGGAGCGGGAACGTGAACGGGAGCGTGAAAAAGAACGCGAAAGGGAACGTGAACGTGAAAGAGAAAGGGAAAAGGAGCGTGAAAGGGAACGAGAAAGAGAACGTGAACGAGAACGAGAAAGGTAAAAATATAGAGGGGTCAACAAACGCTATGTACAATATATATATCATTCAATACAATGACATGGTCGACAAATGGTGTGAAAGACACTATTATAATTATTAATTTATTAGACATAAAAATATTCCCATTGCTATAATTACATTTTCTGCTTTCCCTTTCAAGTAAATTTCATTAAATTTGCGTAATTTATATATTTAACAACTTTATATTATAGAAAAATCATTTATTTTAATTATCGCCATAGGGAACGAGAAGAAAAAATTGTAAAAAATATTAAAGATCTACACAGAGAGAAAGAAGTTGAGGAAGAACTACGAGAACGTAAGAAAGCTGAAAAAAAAGCTAGAGAAAAGGAAGAAGCTTATCAAGAAAGACTAAAAAACTGGGAGTTAAGAGAAAAACGAAAGGCAAAAGAGTACGAAAAGGTTTGCAAATATGTCGAAGAGCATGAAGTGTAAATTTTCCAAAAAAATTTACTTACCATATGTTATTTAAAGATTCGGATCAAGGATAAAATAAAACTAGAAGAGCGTGAGAAGGAAGCCAAAAGACTTAAAGAATTTGTGGAAGACTATGATGACGAAAGAGATGATCATAAATATTATAAGTAAGACGTAAAAAATATTAACTTTATAGAAATTTTCTAAAATTTCTATCTACTGTGCTTTTGCAGAGGTCGAGAACTCCAGAGAAGGTTAGGAGATCGCGTTCGAGAAGCAGATCTTGATGCGAAGGATCGCAATAAAGAACAGGAAGAATTGGAAGAATTGCGAAATAAAATATTCAGTGGAGAATATGAAAATCCTTCACAAGAATATGAGAGGGCAAAGAAAGAGCACGAAAAATTGTATAAACCTCAAATATTGATCGATGTAAATTTGGAAAATATACAACGGAAAGAGCGTGAGAAGGAGCGAATTAGAGAAAAACTGCAATCAATTGAGAGTAAACGCCTCTTACTTGATGTTAATTCAAATGATGATGGAGAATTAAATGCTCTAGCAAAATCATATTCAGTAGAGTCAATTTCAAACGATGATGCGGAGTCTCGGGCAGATTCTACGTCGAATATAGAAACCAACTACAGTCGCCATGGTTCTGAGTCACGGGATTTTGTACCTGTCGTGAATACTCAGGCAACCAGCTCTACACCATCTAGTACTTTACAGAGTGTAAGCAATTCCAGACCTCAGAACACAGATGCTACTACGCCGCCCACACAAGCAACCGTTATTAGTCTTAACTTAGGTGCGAACTCAAAAAAAAAAAAAATTGAGGCGACAGGAGTTTTTAACGCTGACGAGGATATAGACGATGAAAATAACTCAAAGAGACGAAAATTGGTTCCATTAGGTAACATATTTTGCCATTTGACAATTTCTTGCATTCAAATAAAGATTAAAATGTATTATTTTAACATAGATTATGATGACAATCAATCAAGAAGTGGAGGAAGTACATCACAGACAGACCGTCAAAATTCAAATGTTGGAAAATCTAATTCGAAAAAACATGGTAAGAATGATACTGCCAGTCAAGAAACAGTGAATAACAAAAAGGAGGAAAATAATACTAGGATACATGATGAAAAACGGCGTCACATAAAGAGCATTATTGACAGGATTCCTACACAAAAGGAGGATTTGTTTAATTATAAACTCGATCGTAACGAAATCGACAACAACCTTATGGAACGAAAAATTCGACCATGGATAAATAAAAAGATTATTGAATATATTGGGGAGCCCGAACCGACTCTTGTGGATTTTATATGCTCTAAGGTGCTTGCTGGAAGTTCCCCCCAAAGCATTTTGGATGATGTTCAAATGGTAAGTAATATTTATGGAATCTTAAATATTTTAATGCATACATATATATGTATTTAGGTCCTAGACGAAGAAGCAGAAGTATTCGTTGTTAAAATGTGGAGATTGCTAATTTATGAAGTAGATGCAAAAAAAATTGGGATAGGTAAATAACTTGTGTAATATTAAGTTGCATATTTATATAAATAAAATTTAAATAAACCAGATATTAAACGTATTGGTTATTAGATATAATACTCATAGCTTTATTGGATTTTTTTTAGTTAAACGGAATTTTAATTACCAGATTCCTTTATTACTTCCTGATACAAATGAACCATAACTTTTGCACTCCCAACAACGAAAGGAGGTTACTGAAATACCTAGTGATGGTACATATCGGTAATATTTATACTCAAACTACCAAATTCATTTCGATCTTTACAACTTACACCAGAGATGTTAACCCAGAAGTTATCTTAGCTTTACCTGACTTAAGTTGCCAGTGAAGTCCGTGTCAGTATTATCGTGTAGAACTTGTGGGAATCTATCAACAATGCTCAGAGAACAACATATAGAAAATTGTAAACATATAACATTGCTCAATATTTAGTATATACTCCATATGTACATAGTAGATATTATTAATTACTTAGCGAAGTCATTCAGTACCAAAAGATACGAAGATGTATTAGTTACCTGTTACATTGTACACATCTATCTTCATACACCGTTCCCACGGCAGTCGGGTCTACATAACCGGAACCGACCCGGATCCAATTATATTAAAATCATCTCAATCGAAGAGGCTAAATTTAATATATTGCGTTGATGTAGAAAACGTCTGCCAAAGGATCGGAAGTCCTAATATCAGAAATTTAAGGGTTGGACAAACGTCTACACCAATTTAATTCAAATTCAATGTTGTTTCATTAATATATCCCAAATACAGGCTTAAAAAATTTTAACCCTACATATCGGATGGAAAAAAAATATAAAAAATTTTTAATTCTACATACCGGATTAAAAATTTAAAATTTTGACCATCTTAAAATTAAAAAAAAAAATTTAATTCCAATTACCGGATTCAAAAATAAAAAGGAAAGTGTTTTAAAATTGAAGTTTTTTTCGCGTATGCGTACTTCATTCAAATTAAAAAATACAATTTGCAAAATTAAAAATCTAATTTTTAATCCCAACATCGGGATTAAAAAATGAAAATTAAATGTTTAATCGCAAAAATAAAAGTATATTTTCTAATCGCAAAATCGGGAATGAAAATCCAAAAATTTTGAGTTCAAATTGAGCATTGCTCAAGTATACTCGAGAACATATTTTCAAGCAAATTTATAAATAAATAACGCAGAAATTGACCTGCATATGAGTTGTTAGAACAACAAACATCATTATATGTAGTATATGTCAATTGGGGTAATTCGTATACTAAATTCATACATTTTCGGTAGTAAACTATATATGTATATCCAATATTATACATTCAGTTAATTTTACTAAAATATAAAGCCACCTGGAAGTTTGAAAATCTTATATAAGGTATATAAGAGATAATGGTATTGACACGAATTTTATCTATTTTTGGCAATACCACATATTGTTAACAGAAATAGATGCTTTTAGAGTTTCATTACGGTACTTCACATTCCATGACCAATATACATACATGGAGTGAAATAAACAGTATGTTTGAAAGTCTTGATATTAGTTATATGGAGACTAGAGCAATTTTTGACCCGATTTTATTCATTTTATGCATAAAGATGCACCATTGTTAGAAAAACACGCTCACTCAATTGCGCCTATAGTCCAATTTTGACATCGGCTCTTATAAAGCTCTTGTACTATCCCGGATGTAAAATTAGTTGTCTGTCGGATTTAGTTATTGAGTTATATCACCTTTAGTAGTTTTCAACGTAACCATTATATGGGAAGTGGGCGGGGAAATAAACCGTTTTCACCCTTACACTTTCAGTAGAGGTAATGAAAAGCTTTGTTCTGAACAAGTTTGGTTGATTTGGCTTAAGTGATTTCGGAGTATATACCAGTGATTGGTGCAAATACGTACTCATACTCATATAAAAAATTACTAAGTCATTCCTACACAAACAATCTCTCGAGGTTAAACTAACAATTTGATTTTACTCACCTGCTCATAGGAGAGGATGAAAATAAATTTGAATAAGTTCAGTATTACTTTGATAATGCTGTGTGCTTTTGGCATATGTAAAAATGTGTGAATGCCGTGTCGTGCTGTTCTGTTATTGTTTGGTTTTGTACGTATTTTGTTTTTCAGGATTATTCAATAATTGTAAGCTAATATATTGTGTAAATGTTGACAGGCAAATGTACTGTTATATGTATATATACACAGACCCAAAATAAGTATCACCACAACAAAGTTTAATAAAAAAAGAAAGAAATTAATAGAACTTCATGTTTTTTTTTATTAGATAAAGAATACTTCAAATATTGTGGAGTTAGTTCAAATCTTTCCTCTTCCTAACACCGATTTTACTGAGCATATATCCCCATACGCAGAAGTAAAGAGGATTAAGATCTGGCGACGCAGCAGGCCATTCTTTATTTGATATAAAATCGGGTAAATTTTGATTACACCAGTCTTGAGTGCGTTTTGTTTGGTGTGACGGAGCAGAATCTTGTCGAAAGCAAAAATATTCGGTACCATACAACTTCTATATATAATAATTTGTGTCAATTCTGACTCCTTTATCGATGAAAAGGAGCAGCAACTTTTCCTTTATTGATATTTATTTATTTAAACGCGAATCGGCAATATACATAGATATAATAAAGAAATAAAGTATTATACAAAAGTGGCTAGGGTATATTAGTGTAATATCTGGAAAATAATATATTGTCGTGTTAGTGTAGGGAGACCAGATTACCGAACCATATTCCAAAATTGATAGTACAAGTGACTTGAATAGTCTAATGAGTATCCAAGGGTTTTTGAAATCTTTACCACTCCTCAGTATAAATCCAAGGGCTTTGAACGCCTTTGATGTAATTTTGTCTGCGTGGTGTGAGAAGGTGAGCTTATTATCAACAATGATACCTAAGTCTTTTATGTTCTCGACCTCCGCTATCTCAAGCCCATCAAGTTTGTAGCTCGTGCGGATCGGTGAGTGTGAGCGAGCGAAAGATACGGCCGCACATTTGTTTACGTTGAGATCCAGCTTGTTCACTCGACACCAGCCACTGAGGATATTTATGTCTTGTTGCAAGATTATGATGTCTGTCTCACAAGTAATCGGTCTAAATATTTTGAGGTCATCAGCATACAGAAGGAAATCAGAAGCAAAGTTATTACCAATGCCGTTGACGAAGATGTTAAACAGTACAGGACCAAGGTGAGATCCTTGTGGCACACCAGAGATTACTTCATATTCACTGGATAAGTGGCCATCTACTCTGACTTGCAAGCGTCTGCCTGTGAGGTATGTACGTATCCAAGCTAATGCACGTCCAGCCACACCATATTTACTTAGCTTATCTAAAAGTATTTCGTAGTCAACACGGTCGAAAGCCTTGCTGAAGTCTGTGTAAATGCTGTGTGTACAGTTGCCGGAATTCATGGAGTTCAGCAGTTTGTCGACGTATATGAACAAATTGGTAGTGGTGGATCTGCCACTAGTAAAGCCATGTTGTTTGGTTGTTATGATGTTTTCAAATGCCTGACGTATCTGTGGAAACACTAACCTCTCAAATAGTTTTGCAAGTGCAGACTGTGTGCAGATAGGACGGTAGTTGGTATCCAAGGTCTTGGGCCCCTCTTTATGAATCGGTGAGATGTATGACAGTTTCCAGTAGGTCGGGAAGGTACCATGGTGAAGAGATTCGCCAAATATATGTGTCAAAGGCTCACATAGGCCTACTGCACAGTTTTTGATGAATATGTTAGGTAAACCATCGGGGCCTGCACCTTTGCTGGGGTCGAGAGCAAGGAGTTCTTTGAGTAATGCATCGTAGGTCACTGTCAGGGCATCCAAGTGTGTGCGCTGTGTACCAGGATTGAAGGTTGCAATACCTGGGTCGTTGCTATTCGATGGCGCGTAGATGCTGTGGAAGAAGGACGCAAAGAGGTGATACCTGGTCCCGTATCTGCTGAGCGGTCATTCCAGGCTACGGAAGATGGTATGTCACCGGTGCAACGGTTTTTGTCCTTGATAAAATTCCAGAATGCTTTGATCTCCGATTGCAGTTTGTCCTCTACCTTGTCGACATAACTTTTGTAGCATTCGATACTTAACTTTTTGCATTCCAATCTTAACCTGCTGAATCGTAAATAATTTGGCTTAGTTTTCCGAATTTTATATATCAGGTGTGCAGATTTCTTCTGTTTGACTTTGTAAATGAGATCATGTGAGAACCAAGATGGATAGTTACTTGGCTTGTGTACGTGTACTGGAACAAACTGGTTTACACCTTCAAAGATTTTTCCATAGAGAAAGTCCAACTTACTGTCAATAGTCTCGAGTTTGTAGAGGTCAATCCAGTTCGTTCTTAGGAGAGAGGTATTAAGGGCTGCGTAGTTAGCCTTTTTAAATACGTGTGATAAGGAATTATCTAGCGTCAACCCCGGCCGAAAATTTAGCAAGACGTCGATAGCAGGATGGTACTTATCTTCCGGGACAAGAGCAACTGCGTGGTCCGGAGAAGAGTCAATGTCACTGAAACAAAGGTCAAGTGTTGAGCTCCAGGCATTTTGAATGTAATTTTGTTGAGTGCAGTTTAATGAGGCAAAGCCATCATAAAGTTGCTTTTCACATTCGACACGAGGCAAGCTGCTGGGAATATTGAAGTCGCCGACAATCATGACGTTAGAGTTTTGGTATTTGTCCATTATAAATGAACACGGATGAATATTTGCTCTAAATCATTGTTTGTTATTGCAATTTGTTCTGTATGGAGACTACGTTTACAGGCGATGAAGACACCACCACCACGCACCTGCTCGTTGATGATAGAAACACGGTCTTTACGGAAAATACTATATGTTGAATCAATGACTTCACCATCACATATGGATGAGTGAAGCCAGGATTCCGAAATACATACAACGTCGTACTGGTTAGCCGCGAATGCTGTTTGAAATGTTGAGAGTTTTGTACGCAGACCTCTGACGTTCTGGTAGCACAGGTGGACGTAAGATACTTTCTTCTTGCTCGTTGAGCGGACGAAAATTTCTTTTAACGATTCTTAGGACACCATGGATATATTTAATTGTGTTACTGTCATCACCACTCTTCACGATTGAATCAAGCTCTTGACGCAAATTTTTCAGATAAAGTTGTTGAGAGGGAGTTAGATCAGTCTTGAAAATAAAACCTGAGTTTTCGTCTGTTGGTCTGTATTTGATAATGGAAAGTGCATCGGCTGCTGAGCGGGTGGCAATGTGAAGTGGACGTGTACGTCCAGGTGTAGGACGACCCAGTCTACGTAACTTGAGTTCAGTGGCCTTGAGACTGGGAGGCAAAGCTGTAACTAACTTTGTTCTGTCATCCTCTAAACGGTCATTTCCAGCAGCTTTATCAGACTCAGAAATATTTAGGGCAATCACGTTGGTTTCACGGCGTTTTCGTTCCGACAGTTCAGTGAAAAACTCTTCCTGGCTGGTAGGCAGCCTCATATCTACGTTTAGCTTGTCTTCAACTGATGTAAGTTTGTCATCCAGGGCAGAACATTGATTTGATAGCGAGACGTTTTGTTCTGACAATTTGCTTACCTCTTTTCTTAAGTCCTTGATTTCACTTACAACTGATTTTTTTAGGTCCCTGAACTCACGTTCATAATTTGTTGTAAAACGTTCAAAGTTGCCCGCTAGACCAATACTTTGAAAACATTTTGGCATCTGCCAGACTTATTGCATATACACGAT